CAGTCCAAGACGTGATTGTTTCTTGACGTGACCACCATCCAATTTGAACCCATGGCTGACACTTTGCTTCCTTGCTCTCTCCACACGTATAGCTTCACCAGACATTCTTTCTTGCTGGAAATTATACCTTTCTTGAAACTGAAACGTCATTTTTGTCCCCATGTTGCGCTGTGCTGCACACACTAAGTCTTCCATTTTACCGCTCGCCGCTTAATCGAGATTAGCACTTCTTCACACTGACTGCATGAACCATGCAATAAGAGAATCTACCTATCTAAGGGAAAAGCAGAGAAGAAGGACGAACTAACTTTAATGGTGTTCTTGATTTGAATCTTCTTATATGTCTATTTAAAGGCGCTAATTAAGGGATGAAGCTTATATGATGAGGGACGTGGTGGATGTTGCTTCTTTGTTCTTGGACCGATGATGAGGGATAGAGATCGTTTCTGGACCGTCAGTGTCAATTTTTTCATCGTCGTTCATCTTCTTCTTAATTGGGCTTTATAATAGATCATCTTCTACTACTAATTGTAATTGGGCCTCACACGAAGACCCATCAATTACTAATTTCTGATATTACAAACAAATATCAATCTATATAGTCTTTCGTTACATATTAATCTAATACGTAAATTCCATTTTGTGTGCATAAACAAAGAGATAAAAAAAATAACAATGGTTAGTAGCCGGTAATGTAAAACTAATTAATACCATTAAAACATAGTATATTTTTTAAAATATAAAAAATTGAAAAAAATTACTTTTCTTTACTCTGCAATCCTCGTTCATCTTCATAGTCGCATGCTCGTTGTTTTCGGAATGGGACTCCGACGCCGTCGTCACCACAATGTTCCGATTGGTCTTGCATTCATTCCTTCGCGAACCACATTCCCAAACCCCAATTTCAATTCACCAACCCCACCTTCCCCCATTCAATACCTCTATACGCCACCAACCAATCCGGTTTCAAATCCAACCCCTTCTCCTCCATTCGATAACAAACCATATTCGCCACCACCACCTCCGCCGGAGGAAACTGCCCCTGCAAATCCTCCAAGTGTGGCCGCGCCACATGTTAATACACCTACACCAGGATACTGTGCATGCTAATGTGTAGCTATCTATCTGCATTTTGCAATTGCGCGATTGGTGATGGCAATTGGGTCTAAAAGGAAAGGGAAAAGGAAAATTAGAATTGAATCTGGGTGGTTTATATTATTTTTACTCCTTTTTTCACTCTTTTACTGATGGGTTTCTTTGTTTTTTTTTTATTTCCTTTTTTCACTCCTTTTTTTTATTTATTTCCTTTTAGTGGAAGAACATTTTTGTAATGTGGCCCAGTGAATTTACAAATTGGTTCCTGACATCTACATTTATTTTCAATTATGACAGTCACTGAAGTTAATGTTTGCCCTTTCTGTGGTTCAATCTCTGTATTCACCGCTGCCATTATTACTTACCATATTCTTCTTATTATTCTTCTTGTTATTCTGAGCAAGTTCTCACTAACGATCTAATAAGTGGAGGCATTATTTCATCCATGATGACACTTTTTTTCCCATAGATAAAACAATAACGTTTTAAGTTATTTAATGGACTTTTGAGCTAGTGGATCAGGTTGCTCGGCCAGGTCAACTGGACCAGAGTGAAAAAACTAGATTGGATTTGCATAGGTCAAAGTTTGGTTAGATTTAAAATTTATTATTTATGTAGGATCAATTAATCAATTTTATGTCAATTAAAACTAAAACAATATATAAAATTAATTTGTATAAAAATTGAGTCCTATATGAGTTCAATATCGGTTCTGAATCTATCAATGAATAGGTTCACCAGACCCAAAACCTTAAGATAAAAGACTTTTGAATTTTGATTAATACTTTACGTTACAATTGGTCATTGTTGTTTGTACATGTCCTACTTTTTCAATTCATTAATGAGTCTTTCACTTTTTATATACTGTTCTACTTTTTCAATTTTATCCAATGTGACACTTAGACTCACGTTTGGAATACCAACCGTTCTCTCATATTTGGTAGTAAAAGTACAATTTGTCCTTGAAACGCTTTTGAATTTTGATTAATACTTTACATTATAACGTGTTTTGTTTATTTTTAAATTAAACGTAGATTACCTCTTTCAATTCGTCATTGTTGTTACTTGTACATTATGTTCTTTAAAAGTGTAAAGTTCCATTTAAATTACATCAAATAATAATCCAAACATACACTTATACACTTAGAGTACTAGGTTTAGTTGAAGAATATTCAACTTTGCTCAAGTTAGGATAATTTTTGTTGAGTGTATTTTTTGTGTAATTTTAGAGTTGTGTTAAAGTTTATCGTTTAAAGTTATAAGAGGTTTTCATTTTAGTTTTATTCAAATTAAAATCCCAGTAACTGTAAAAATTCTCGACAAGTTGTGTCAAAATTCATCCCTTTAAAATTCTAAGAAAACATGATTTTTGTCGAATTATTAGTTGTGTTAAAGTTTAATATGATAAGAGGTCATGGCATTACAACAAGTTGAGATAAAATCTGACAAAAAGTCCATGTATAAATAACAAATAGTATTAACATCATACATATCCTAATTCGCACAAAACTTTAACATAATCATTGAGTTGTGCTTAATGTCAACTTCAACCGGTCAAACTAAATAAATTCTTAAGCAATTATTTCATACCCACCTAGTTATTTGAAAATATAATGATTCTATTGTTAATGTTTTTAACTTATAATCTTACATTGTGAATTGAGTATTCATTAGGATAAACTTACATTATGTTTTATTTGTTCTTTTAAGCATTATTCGCCTCTTGAACTTTTACTTTCTAATGTATTTTACTTTTATAAATATACCATGCAATTTCAACCTCTTTCACCACAATGCTCAAAACTATAAATTAGGTACCTCTAAATTTTTTCCAATTGAGACATTAATACTAAATCATTCAATAATGGAGATCAATTAATAGCGGTTGATCTCTCTAGGTTCTTATTTACTGTCTTTTGATTTATTTACCAATTTTTTTTACACAATTTAAGAGTCAATAGATGAATTTTTTTATATTGGTCTCATTAGTTTTACATACCTCAAATAAATACACAAGGCTGCTAATTTTAGTTTCCCTTGTTGTATTGTATTCTCCCACGATTCTATTCAACAGGTTATTTATATTATTATTCATAAATGCTGCAAAACAAAGACTTCACAAAAACTAACCTAAATAACATTCAAAACCCAATTCCCAACCACACCAAGTCCAAGCTAAAAACAACAAAAAAAATAAATAAGTCCAACAAAAATACCTGTACATCTTTCACTTGCATTTGCCGAATAAACTCTATAAACATGTCTGGGGAGAAAAGGAAAGCAAAATCAAACTCTAAAACAAAACAAAATATTGTTACAGAGTATTTTAGAAAATGAGAAATGAGATGGTACATATATATACTTCAATGTTGACCCCTATTTAAACCACTTGAACTAGTTTCCACAGAAGAATTAAAAATGAATCAGAAACTAAAAAAAAAAAAAAGAAAACTCAAAAAATTTGAAGTCGGTAAAAAAATTTGGAGGTGTAATAATATTGAGCTATGGATGTAGTATCAGATCATTCGTTCCTTCTTTTCTTCGGTTTAAACTGTATCCCAGCCTTACATTCCAACATATTTTTTACAAACGGAAGACACTGATCTTACCTTAACACAAATTCTAGGACATCCCCAATTTTTTTGTAATACAAATTTCATTGACAAATGTAAACACCAATTCGAAAACGAAAACAGAAACGAAGGCTTACATGTTGTAGAAGACGAAAAAACGCACACGAGCCGCTCGATGATTATAACGACGACTCACACAGATCGCTCAATGGCAGTAATGAAATGGAAACTGAAAGAAAAGAGAAGGAACAAAGAAAACGAAGTCGAGAGGAAGGAGAAAGAGAATGTGAATACAAAAATGAAAGTATTTTTTTACCCTAAAACAGACTCTGGTTTTTTTATCCCAGTAATTCTCTACATTTTTACATGTGATATGCCACCCTCTCGGTTATTACATAATATTATTTAATTTAGCAATAATTTAAGCAATCTACTATTAATTAAAGTAGGAGTGTCATAATTTTTTGTGAGTTTAATCTCTGATTTAAGTTATTAATTTCTAAAATGATATTTTTATGCGCATCACGTCACGGCAATGAACAGCATGTTTCAAGCCACCGGGAAAGGGCTAGTTGTATTTTATTATGCATCCAAAGAGCCTAGATGAAGACAACAATGAAAGAACTTCACATTATATTAACACCAATGAGCTAATCACTATTATGACATTATCATTACTATTAATAGGATTAATACGTAAATTTTAATAAGGTGATTTCTAGAAACATCACCACACCTTTGGTATCCTAACCTCATTAAATAGTCCACCGTCCCCAAAAATGACGGCTCTTACGATAAGAACGGGCTATGTTAAAATAATCAAAGATGGTAAATTAAGATGGTATTTATGCGTAATTACTTATCTTGAACAAACTTTTATACCGCATTTGAATGCTGATTATATACGTTGATCTGAGTGATCGAGTAGAATCAGTAGCCTTAACAATTTCTGTGTCTCGTACCAAAAGAAAAATACTGTGCAGAATGTCTTTACGTTAGCAACAAAAAGTTACAAAAGTGAATGTTGTTTTATGAAAAATAGTAACGCGGCTGAATGGTCAACTCGGCTTAATTTGCATGTGAAACGGCCCAACACAAAGGCATCATACAAAGGAAGAGATGGCGTTTACTTAGTTCCTCTGCACTGTAACAACGTAAGGCAGTGTAATGCAATTGGCCATGGTGCACTGTTCTAGAATGACGCACAATCTGCTGCTTCCGTCACAGCCCTCATCACCACAATGACTTTCTCTTTACACTTACAACGGAAGATAAGGAACAAACAAGTAAAATAAACAAAAGCCAAAGGAACAAATGAATAATGTTGTGTTACATAGTATTATAATATTCTCACGCTATTCACTGCTCTCCTAGCCTCAGTTCAGACACAGTGCACTCTTTTTCTCTCTTCTTGCTTGCTTCCAACATGGACATGAATTCCTCAAGTGGTGCCTCCGGTTGGCTTTATGATTATGGCTTTGATATCCCTGTTGCCGGTGCTGACTTCATGGTTGTAGCAGACTCTGGAGGTTTTAGTTGGGGGCCTCAAAATCACACCTTGAAAGGTCCTTCACATACGAGGTCGGTTTGCTTTGTAACTTTCTGTTCTTTTACTTTCTGCTTGGTTTACAATTTGCACCAAGTGTTGTTGAGCATGGGAATTGTAGTGAATATTGTTTTAATTAACCTTTATTTAATACCTAGAACTGCCTTATGATGATTGTTTTATAATTGCAGCTTGGAAATGGAATACTCACTGGATTCAACTGTTCTGGAAAATAGTCCTTCAAAGCGGTAATATCTCTTCTGGCTCTGTAAAGAATATATGAAGTAAAAGTTGTACCTCCACAACTGTTTCTATGATTTGGAATCTTGGCATGGAGCTGGGATGTTCGAGTTATCATCACCAGGATAATTTCCAATTTTGTACAGTTTCATTGAAGCCTCCCATGACATGTTCTATGCCTTAAGGGATTCTACAGCAATAGGACACCCAATTTGCTAGAACTTTACATAAGGATTTTCTCCATGCTGTAAATATAGAAGAGGAAATTAATTCTATGTATTACAGTCAAAGTGGGTTTGAGTGAAAAGAATCTTATAGTGCTCTGAATTTAGTTGAGTGATTCTTTCAATTGTGTCTAACCAATTATTATTAGTCATAGTGAAGAATATGGACCTCAAGAATGTTTCTCATGTGTTAATTGATGTTCATGTATTTGGAGATTAGGAATGACTACTATGTTTCTTTGTTAGTTATCAGTGACTATGTTAAACTCTAGTCAACTAATACAGGGTTAAGTATGTTTGGTTACAAAGAGTTCAATTAGTGACTGTAAGTTTGACGTGATTCTGTGCCTACACTAACTTGAAATTTGTGATGAATTTTCCGGTCTCTTTTTCTTTTACCTCTGTCATCTTTCTCTTTCATTCATTCTTTTCCCTAAATCCTTTGGAACTCCTACTGCAGGTTAAAGACCGAGTCATGTGCATCTGGCGCCAAGGCGTGTCGCGAAAAAAGGCGAAGGGATAAACTGAATGATAGGCATGCTATTACCTTGCGTCTTATGTGATTAAGTTTACTGTTCAAAATCTCATGTCTTCAATTTGGCATGATTTTAAGGTTTCTGGAATTGAGTTCCATCTTGGAGCCTGGTAGGCCGCCCAAAACAGACAAAGTTGCAATATTAAGTGATGCTGCTCGAGTGGTAGTCCAATTGAGAAATGAAACCGAGAGGCTTAAGGAAATGAATGATGAACTACAGGGAAAAGTTAAAGAATTGAAGGTGATTTTCTGTTTCTAGAGATTATTTTACTTTGATGAATTGACTTAGTAGAGTTTAGTTCTGTTTGGAATTCGATTGCTAAGCTTTCTGTATCAAATAAGGGGTGACCATGACAGTATATGTTGATTGTGTGTAGTTCTGAACTTTTGTTCCTTGCAGGCTGAGAAGAATGAACTTCGTGATGAGAAGAATATGCTGAAGGAAGAGAAAGAAAAGTTGGAGCAGCAAGTAAAACTGACAAATATACAGAACAGCTTCCTCCCTCAAGGCCCAGCTGCTAAAGGACAAGTTGGTACCCATAAGCTGATACCTTTCATTGGCTATCCTGGAATTGGTATGTGGCAGTTTATGCCCCCTGCTGCAGTTGATACATCGAAGGATCATCTGCTTCGACCTCCAGTTGCATAAAGTGGTTAGCAATAGCATCCACTTAGTTGTGTGTGCTCTTTGCTTGCGGTATTTTTGTACAAGTCATCCATCCTACCTATTGTGTGTTTTCTAAAAGTCATAGGACAAGTGTGCTCGGAAACTGATAAATAAGATAAATTTGTGCTATTGTTGCTTGAACTATTTTAAGAAAGTGGACCATGTCATGGCTATAATGTGTGTTGCATGATTAAAAATAAAAGTGTGTTTTAGTGATTGTTTGCTGGAATGTTTCCTTTTTTTCTTGGTCCAGGTTCTAGAACCAAAATGATCACCTATATTTCTCTCATTTTCAAGAGCAGAAAGTGCCTACTGTTCCAAGATGCTGAATGAATATCATGTCCATTTGGGAAGTTATATCACCTCATCGTTATATAGGAAATTTATTTTCTGCGGCTGATTAATATAGGGAAGTTCTCTTCTATTTGTCTGTTCTGTTTTTTTCACATCACCTGCTCTAGTGGTAAAGTAGTTTATTTTCCTCAGTTTTTAAGCAAAGTTTTGAGGACTTGGAGATGGTAATAGCAAGCTTATCCTCGGTAGGATGATCAGAAAATCAGTTTCAGTAATGGGGTCTAAAATCAAATATCATTGACTAATAATACACGCTCATAGAAATTATATCTGAATTGTAAGCAATTAACCACACCAAACTGACAAAGAGAACACCAGAACAATTTTCACACAATGAACTCAGAAGTAACGATTAACTAAAGTTTTCTCCGTCCTTAGAAGGCCATAAACATCATTAGAAAGCTTGAAACTACCGCAAAGGAGGCTTGTAGAATTCCTTCCCTGGTAGATGAAGCTGACACGTCTTGTGAATGTTGTGCTAGAGGTGAAGCAGAAGCAGGAAACTCAGTAGAAGGAATGACTGGAGAGAGTATAGGACTTTCAAGATGAGTTTGGAACAACGGACTCGGTGCTAGAGGTGAAACAGAAGCAGGAAATTCAGTGGAAGGAATGACTGGAGAAAATATAGGACTTTCTATGTGAGTTTGGAACGATGGACTCGGTGCTGTGGGAATTTCTTCAGGAGATTCTGCAGACGGAGTAGTAGAATCTTCAGGAGATGCTGCTGGTGTGGCAGAAGCTGTTGCAGTGGCAAGAGTGTTTACTTCAACCTTCATTCCTTGGCTGCAATGTCCCATTGTCCCACAGATGAAGTATCTTTTCCCTGGTGAAGTGAGAGGGACGGTTGTGGCGCCATCGTTGTAAGACTGAATAGGGTTAGTTGGCTGGCAAGAATCATAGTCTGCCTTTGTAACTTCAACCACATCATGGTTTGGCGGGTACTTGAAAACTGCATTCATCAATGTCAATGTCATCAACTTAGAAACAATACATGAAGATAATGTGCTTCACGGATGCATGCAAGGACTGACTTACCTAGACTGTCTCCCACTGAAAATATTTGAGATGAAGCCCATGATTGAAGGTTTGAGTTTGTGTCCCACCCACCATTTGGGCCTCCAACAATGTAATCTGTAGCCAAGGCCAATTTGATGAGTATGGCCAAAAAAGATACCCTGAAGATGATTGCCGGAACACCCATATTTTCTAACTGCTAATGTATATGTGAGTGATGGAGATGATTCACCAGAGATGAGAAGTTATAAAAGTTAATTGTTTAGTTGTGTCTGACATTTTGACTTGAGTTTAGAAGTCTATATATAGAGACATGATGGAATTTGGAGAAGAATCTTTAGAACGATGATAGTGATGATGTGTAGTTGTGGTTCATGCAATGCTGGAGTTGGTTCAGTCATGCAGATGAGAGGGATTATCTTAGTTGGTACAGTCTTGACTCTTCCATATGATTCCTAACTTTTTATTTGTTAAGTTTTCTGATGCTTGGAGGATTCACAGGTGTAGAATTTCCAGGTGATAGTTGTTGGATTCACAACAACTCAACTTCAGCCTTTTTCACATTTATGATTTGAAAACTAATTTATCAGTTCCATCATAAAAATATGTGACTTAGTTCACTTGCACGCACATCATTCTACCAAAAAGTTTCTCAAGTAATTTTTTCCCCTTAATTTGTAGAATAAATGTCAGAGATGTACAGGGAATCATTTTGAGGCTTGGCCTGTTATTCCATAGTGGTGCACCTAATCCGTGCATCCAACCAACCCATTGTGGCAGAATATTAAACTATTTTATGATATGTTGGCAAGTAGGGTTCTAATAAGGAACATAATAAAAATGCAGAGGAAACTGGTTTTTACTAATATTTATAGCTTTACATTTCCTCTATTTACGGTGAAATTCCTAGCTAACTGTTTCGAAAAGGTATCAATCTGATATATTTCTGTAGGTAGAAATCCACTCTGCATCATTCGGCATGTCAACCATATATGTTAACCATATAAAACTTGTTCTTCTCATCAGTTTCACCAAAGAAGTATTCATTAGATAGGTTGTGTTAAATGTTGAAAAAGAAAGTTTTATTATTTATAGTAGTTTTATTTTATTCGAATTATGTTTTTATAAAAATCTATTTTAAATAAAAACAAAATAATATTTGTAATATCTATTACAAAAATAATAATAGTAATAATAAAATAAAGCGAGTAATGCTGCTAATGAGCTGAAGCCAGCATCAGTTCGTATATATTTAATCACAAAATTTCTGTCTTGCATCACTTATATATCATTGGCTAATACATTATTATTTTTTCTTGTAAGTGTAACCTTATAAACATCTTGGTTGTGTAACTTTCTTATTTTATAAATAACATTTTCTTGAAAATTGCACTTTGACATTAATTTTTTTTTCTACCCTAACAATACTTTTCATTACCTTTTACTTTCTCTTTTTCTTTAAAAACACAAAAATTAGCTTGTATTAAAACTATTTTTATCTTTATAAAAATTGTCAAATCGTATCAAAAACCTTTTTTCTATTTTTTTAGTTGTTATCATCATGCAAGACATTTTTCTAAAAAAATTAATTATTGATGTAAAAAGTTAATAAAAATTTTTCATTATACTAAAGAAGATTGGTCCTTTCTAAATCAGAGGTATAGATGAAAAAAAAGGTTATTACTTTATATTTGCATTAATATATAATTAAAGGAATCATTATTCAATTCCTCATTATTTGGTTTAATCAAAATTCAATTATCACAACTCACTCTTAAAACTTGGAATCTTCATTAGAGCAATAAGTTGCTCCACAACTAAATTATTAATCGCTTATAGGCTGATCTAAACTCAGTCTTATAAACTTAGAATCTAAACTCAGATTCAAGGGAAATTTCAGAAAGGTGTTATGTTAGCATAAGTTAAAGTTTCAACCTAGACAAAAAGGAAAATCGTTTTTTCAGTACTCCAGTTTGTTTACTTCACGTAGAGAAGTTGTTTTTCCAGATACCTAGTATTTTCTCCTAAAAAATTCTCTTACGTGCATTCAATTCTATATTTAAAAACAAGTATAAAAGTAGTAAGATATGTAATTGTTTTAAAGTATTTAAAAACAAAGTATAAAATAGTAAGATATGTAACATCCTTATTAATTAATACTTTATTACTAACTTTATATAATGAGTGATCTTCCAGCGTCTCTTTATTTTCTTTCTATACCTTTAAATTTTAATTTTACCTTTTTTTATTAAGAACTAATAGACTTTCGATTAAAAATTTTACACATTTTAAAAATCGTTAAAATCTTAATCAATAAAAATGGACAAAGTCTTAAGTAATTTTCGAAAATCGATTAAAAAAATTCCTTAATCAACTTTCAAAAATCATAAGAAAAATTTCCTAACTATCTTTCCAAAATCGATTAAGAAAAATTCCTTAACTAGCTTTTTTTTAAGCGATTAAAGTTTTCCTTTTTTAATTTTTTTAGTTTACTTTTAAGTCTTTTATTTATTAATAATAATAATAAAACATACTAAAAAAATTAAAAACAAAATTTACTATTTTAAATTAAAAAATTGTTTATTTTAATTTAATAATCAAAAAAGCTAAAATAAAAAAATTTAGAAAAATATGTTAATCGTATCTTAATTTTTTAATATATTTTATTTATTTTTGTTTAATAAATAATATTTTATAAATTATTAAGGTTTCTTTTTTTAAAAAAATCATTTTAGTTTATTTATTGATTTTCTAAAATAATAATAATAATATTTTTTATTACTAAATTCAAATAATAAATTTTTTAATTTCTTTTTTAATTAAAAATATTAAATTTTGTTTTTAATTTTTTTAATATTTATTATTATTATTATTAATAAATAAAAAACCAAAAAGTAAGCTTAAAAAAGTTAAGAAAAATTAGCCGAGGAATTTTTCTTAACTAACTTTCAAAAGTCGATTAAGAATCAAAAGTTGATTAAGATCTTATCGACTTTTATGTGTAAAATTTTTAACCAACTTTTAAAAATCAATTAATTTTTAATAAAAAATTATAAAGGAAGATTTTTGAAGTAGTAGTTTCTTCTATACTTTCAAAATTCATCATACACCTCCAAAATATCAAAAATACCATTGTCGAAGTTTAAAGCCAGAAAATTTTTTAATTGCGATCAAATTATAGTTAAAAATTTTTCTTAACCGACTTTTGAAATTGAATATGTTAACCGTATTTCCAAATACGGTTAACATATATTTTTTTTATGTTTTCTTTAAATTAGTTAAATATTTATTATATTAAAATCTAATTTTTAATTATGAAATTTAAATAAATAATTTTTTAATTTAAAATATTAAACTTTTAGTATTTTTAATATTTTATTATAATTATTAATAAATTAAAACAAAAGCAAAAAAAACCCTTAAGAAAAATTTTTAACCGTAATTCGAACACGGTAAAAAAAATTTCTTAGTCGACTTTCAAATGTCGAGAAGAATATTTTAGATATTTTAAAGGTGTAGAATGAACTTTTGAAGGTGCACGAGAAACTTTTTGAAGGTGCAGGAAGGAAGCCCAGAAGTGCAGGAATAATTGCTTTTAGTATCTTAGTAGCAGTTATTGTTCTAAACACCACTTCAACATTTTTCAACTAATAAAAAGTATTATTTATTACAAACACATATAATTCCACGTATTATACAAAAGTTCTTCAAAGAAGAATCTATCTTGGTAATACTAAGAAATTCCACTTAATACAAAAGTAACTAAATATATCATGTAATTTAATATTTACTGATAACCCGAACATAAACATGTTACTCTATTTTAAAAAAAATTTAGTGTACTGAGAAACTATGACACTTTGCATCTGTCATATAAAGGACATCAAAATTATTTTATATATATATATATATATCGAAAACCAAATGGGAATGGCAGTTCATATTTAATATTTATTTTATACAAAATATAATATACTTAATTTCTGTCTAAAATAATCTAATTAACGAGCATAAAAGCAATTAACTAGATAACTAATATTAATTCACTACAAACTATTACTGTCACATCAATGCTTATGAATGTGTATTTCAATACAAATGGGATCACAAGTTGAATACATTTAATATGCACCCTCCAAGTTATATTCATGTATGTGAGTGCAGCAACAGTGTACATAAAGCATTTCAAATGAATTAAATGTTAAGGTGGCCCCATGTGATTAAAAATTGCTAATACCAAACATTTCAATTAATATATGTATGAATGTGCAACTTCCATTTAAATTCTATAGCTAAAGCCCATTCCAGATTCGGCCTATTATACAACCCAATTGACGTAACAAAACCTATAACTATGGGGGTGGCAGTGCTAGTCCCCTATTTTTCCTTTCAGATAGCTAAACTTTCAAAAAAGAAAATAAAAAAATTATTTTAATACATACAATTTTTTATATCTATTTATTATTATTTTTATTACTTTTTATTTTAAAAATATATGAAAATTATTTTTTTTATAATCATTTTATTTTATACTATGTGTAAAAAAACATGATAACATTATTTTAATAAAAACAATCACGATAAAATACAAATCTAACCCCAATTTGATAAAAAAAATACACTCAGTTCTAATGATATTTGCAAACAACATATCTTCATCAATAATAGTATCTTCTCATCCCTCCCAGCAAATTAAACCACAATATCTGTAGGTGACAATGGTTTCCGTCACTGCGCAGACACTAATTGTTCATTTTATATTATTTAAAGGTTAAAAAGTTGAAGAAGAAGGAGATCTGAAAACCTAATCTTAGAACATTTACTGTGTAGAAAAACATACAATGGTACCACTTTCTACATAAGATAAGTTTTCCAATTTGTAGTGGAAATGTATTGACAAATACTATGGTACCACTATAAAAGTAATATAATAGCACTTACAAAATGAGCGAAATGGTTTCCTCACATAATTACGAAGACTATGAGCATATCTAATGTGAAATTTCTAAACTTTGCCATTAATAATTTTTAAGTGAATGCAACAGAAACACCCTCCAAATTTAAGCATTGGCTATCTTCAAAATGGGAAAACAAATATTATTCTGAGGTAACAAGGATTGGCTCTGACATTCCTTATTTTGGAATATTTTATTATAAACACTTCTATGAGAGAGAACTACAAAATAAAAACTCATTGTTTTTCATAAACAAAAGTTAATTAGTGAATATTCTCTAATAACATTTTTATTTTTAATTGTATAGAAACTAATTTTATTGTATGAACTTTAATGAATATTTCTTACTTTTTTTATAAATGTTTATTAAGAATGTATTAAATAAAATGTAAAGTGTTATTACTTTATTGAATTAATTAAAAAAATTGATAAATTATTTTTTGAATGAGTTGATAAATATAAAATAGTTACAGTAAACATATCTACATGATATTTTACGTAATTTTAATTTATTTTATTATAAAAAATAAACAAAAGTCAGAGTATTTATCATTTTAGTTTTTATATTAATCTTGTATATATTAGGCCATGTTTTTAATCATATTTTGTTTATTTTTAATTATCAAATTCAATTTATATTTTTAAAAATATTTTTTATCATTATTACGAATTTATGTTAATAAAAACTCAATTCAATTATTAATGATTATGAATATTTTAAAATTTATAATTGGACATTGTTTTGCTATCTTTTTAAAAAAAGAGATTTTTGTATGTGTGAATTTAATGAAACAAGTCACGTGATATTGTTGTAGTTCACAGTCAAATCCTATTTAATCATGTTTTGTTTATTTTTAATTATCAAATTCGTTTTGTAGTTCTAAAAATATTTTTTTATCAAGATTATGAATTTATGTCAATAAAAACTCAACTCAAAATTATTAATGATTGTGAATTATTTGGTAATTTATAAATTTTGTTATTGTTTGAGAAAGGGGTATAACTCATATCTGAAGTTACAGCTCCCACCTACAAGTCTGGCTCCCTTTTGTCCAGCACAACAATGCGGAAAGTCGTTAATTGCATCAGCAAGACACTTCTTGCAGTCATAGCTAGATAGGTCTCTGGTGCACTGAGCCATCCCATAGAGTGTGTCTGAGTTCTCAAGCTTTTGTTCTCCACTTGCATACAACTTAGGATTGTTCACCCAAGCTTTCTTAGAAATCTCGCTAAGAAATTCTATTGTCTTTAAGTTAAATGTTGTTGGATCCGTCACGCGGTTCCTGTTCCACATATAAAATATGTTTGTGTTATCAATGGTACCAAAAAATTCGGTGTCTGAGTACTTGAACATGCAGTTGTCGTACCATATGATGCCACCTTTGTTGTATGGACAACGACTAAGGATCGCTTCGGTTGCATCATCGACACAAGTTTTGCATTCTGAGGATGACACATCGCCACGACAAAGAGCAAGTCCGTATGGCTTTGAGTTTACGTTATAGCCCACTGAGCTCATTGCAAACCCTGTTGAATAGGTCTTGTAAATGAGCTTGATGACGAGTGTTTTCAACTGTGTTTCATAGGGACTATTAGCCGTGAAGTTCCCAGACTTTGAACAGAAATAGAAAAGAGGGTCTCCAAATGATGTTTGGTGGAAAAATAGGCTTAAAGAAACTAAGACAAGAGTAGTATAGAGCTTTGAGGAATACATTTTATCAATGAGCTATAAAGAAAATTTATGATGATAAATGTTTTTGCCTATAAAATTTAGGAGAGTGAGACTATTTATAGATTGTTTAGAGAAAATAGTTTGCTTTCATCAGGAAAGGAAGCTTACTTTTAATAAAGGTTAAAAAGTTGAAGAAGAACAAGAAAACCAAATCTTAGAACATTTCTTGTGTAGAAAAATGTATAGCTTTGTAAGCTCGTGCAGTGGTACCACTATCTACATAAGATAAGTTTTCCAATTTGTAGTGGAAGTGTATTGCCAAATACTATGGTACCAATATAAAAGTAATATAATAGCACTTACAAAATGAGCAAAGTTTTCTCACAAAATTACGAATACTATGAGCATATCTAATGTGAAATTTCTAAACTTTGCCATTTTTTATTTTTAACGTGAATGAACAGAAGCACCCTCCATTTTAAGCATCGGCTATCTTCGAAATGGGAAAAAAAATATATTGTTCTGAGGTAACATGGATTGGCTCTATAGCATTCGTTATTGGGAAAATTTTATTATATACACTTCTATGAGAGAAAATTACAAAATAAAAACTAAGTTAATTAGTAAATATTCTTTAATAACATTTTTATTTCCAAAATGTTTCGGTAAGGATTTTGTGAGTCCGAGACACTAACCTTTGACTTGTGTGTTCCGCTTGTATGCTTCCAGTTTAGACCGATCAGTCCTTTTTAGTATTGGCCGCTCGGTGAACTTCAGTTTTGACCGCTCGGTCACCCTCGTGGTAAAAGGGGTATCTGCAAAAGACAATCTAGCGCTCAAGTTGGGAGCGGTTTTATGAACTGTTTGTTACAGTTAAATAATTAAGTCCTGATCGGACGTATAAGTAGGGCGTAGTGGAGTGTGAGTTGAATGTGAGTTTACCTCAAACTTAAACCTTATTTATAGAGTTTAAAGGAATCTGACCAATTAGTTTACCTCTTAATGATCATTAATGAAAACCTTAACTATCTAATGGTAGCCGTTATCACATTTATTTGTGCATTAACTTTGCTCAACAGTTGTCGGGACCGAACGGCTGAGAAGCATTTTGGGACCGAACAGCTGAAAGACTTGTCGAGACTGAACAATTGAGAGACTTGTCGGGACCGAACGACTGAGAGACTTGTCGGGACCAAACGATTGAGAGGGATTTACCTCTCGAACTTTGACTTCAGCGAGAGGAATTTATCTCTCGGTCGAGGAGGATTTACCTTTCGGTCTTTGGCTTCAGACTCTTCCTGAGAGACTTCTTCGTTGAATATGAACTTCTTTAACAAAGTTGGCAGCAAGTGACTGAGCATGAATTGCTCGGCTTTATTCATTCCATAATGAAAACATAAGATAATGACAAGAGTCTAAATCAAAGGAAACTGAATTTAAACATGACACTAATAGAGTTTTGGATGCTTCTCCTCAATTGATAACTCCACGAACCAATTGTTCACGATAACAACTGGGACTGCAACTATAGCCCCGCCCTCGTTCGTCCTTCCTATATGCCTGTTCGGGACTTCTTCGCAAATACCTTTCCTAGGGGAGGCTTCTTGCTTCCTTTATATACCTACGGAAATGTCCTGCCCGAATGAGACTTTCTATTTCATTTTTCAGCGTAATGCATTCTTCTGTTACTGTGTTTTCGTTGCATCTCTTACTGTGCTAGCGCCTGCGCCTGTATGGTTCTTGCCTGTGTTTGTATCTGTGCTTGCATCTGTGCTATCAAATCTCGGGTATTCTGCTATTCATCCATACTCCTTGTGGTCACCATTTGAGTTTCTTCTGCTTGCTTAACCGATCGGTAACATATAAGCCCAAAGTAGTGTAGAGGCTCTCATACACCTTTACCGTTCGATCGACTATGAGCCCATAGTAAAAAAACTAATTTTAATTTATGAACTTCAATAATTTATTTCTTACTTCTTCTGTTTTATAAATGTTTATTATGTATTAAATAAAATATAAAAGGTTATTAATTTATTGAATTGATTAAAAAAATTGATAAATTATTTTTTTAATTATTTGATAAATATAAAATAATTATAGTAAACATATCTACATGATATCTTTACGGAATTTTAATTTATTTTGTTATAAAAAATAAACACAAGTTAGAGTATTTATCATTTTAGTGTTTATATTAATCTAATATATTAGGTTGTGCATTTAATCATATTTTGTTTATTTTTAATTATCAAATTTAATTTATATTTTTAAAAATATTTTTTATCATTATTATGAATTTATGTTAATAAAAACTTAATTTAATTATTAATGATTATAAATGCCTTAAAATTTATAATTGCACATTGTTTTGCTATCCTTTTAAAAGAATAGATTTTTGTGTATGTTAATTCAATAAGAAAAGTCATGTGACATTGTTTTAGTTGAGAGTAAAATCATATTTAGTCATAGAAGAGATTAGGTGTCATCACTCGACAACTACTCTGCATCTATATTGTGTGGCCCGTCATTCAACAAAATGCCACCCACTCAGTTCTTGTCGGTGGCGGCTTCATCCTCCGCGCCTCCCCTCCACCACACCTTGCCTCTCCATGCGTCTTGCCTATACTCTCTGCGTCGCGTCGCGTCTTCGATAATCTCCACTTCAACGATGGAACAAAGCAGCAAATCATGTGTATTGATCATAAAATAAAGTTTGAGATACTTTTGATTGGAATAAAGAAAACTTTGGTGTTCTACCAGTCGTGCACCCAAAGGAAAGAGAACAAATTAGGTTATATACAACTATCGCTCCACCTTGAAGAAGAGTGAAGTCGTCGTTGACAAAGACTACCTGACCAACAAGAACTAGGTGATTGACATTGGTTTAAATGCACAAGGACTTTTGTACAGGTGATTTTAGAAATTATGGTATAGTTCTTTAACCGAAACGTATTTAAACAACATATAATATATATAATTTTAGGTTTAAGTTGATAATCGAAATTTATGATTTACTTTATGTTTAAGTTATTTTTTAAATTGAAGTCTATTTTAATATTTTTTTAAAAAAATATTATTTCAATTCTCTCACGTTTGAAATTATTTATAAAAACTATACACTTCGGTTCTATAAAGAATCAAAACTTTTAGTTATGTGACATTTTTAAAAATATTTACAAAATTATATATTTTAATTATTTAAAAAATCGAAACTAATATTATTATATATTTTGGTTATTTAAAGAATTGAAACATATATCAATAATATAGATTTTAGTTATTTTGGAATCAAAACTTATAATTGCGTAAAATAATTTTAAAAATGTCACTTGTTTTGAAAGATTTCATTTTTCTTAAAACTAAAACACATTACACGATTTCAAAAGCCTTTTTGCAGTAACATGAGTGGTGACACCTAATATCTTCATCTTCAATTTTAATGTCAAAAGTAATACTAATATGTTTCCATTAGATTCACGTGAAAAACTACCAAAACGTTAAGGACACAATAATTTCTATTTGTAAATTTTTTATTGCTTTTAATAACTTTTTTATTTTTAATTATCAAATTCGTTTTGTAGTTTTAAAAATATTTTTATCAATGTTATGAATTTATGTCAATAAAAACTCAACTCAAAATTATTAATGATTATGAATTATTTGATAATTTATAAATTTTGTTATTGTTTGAGAAAAGGGTATAACTCATATCTAAAGTTACAACTCTCATCCATAACTCTGCCCCCTTTTGTCTAACACAACATTTCCGAAAGTCGTTAATTGCATCAGTAAGACACTTCTTGCAATCATCACTAGATAGGTTTCTGGTGCACTAAGTCATCCCATAAAGCGTGTCTGAGTTCTCAAGCTTTTGCTCTCCAATTGCATACAACTTAGGATTGTTTATCCAAACTTTCTTTGAAATTATTCCGCTGACAAATTATGTCTTTAAGTTAAATGTTGTTGGATCCGTTATGCGATTCCTATTCCACATATAAAAGTTGTTTGAGTCATTGGTGGTACCAAAAAAATCAGTGTCCGAGTACTTGAAAATGCAGTTGTTGTACCATAGACACAAGTTTTGCATTCTAAAATTGACTTATGGCCGTAACAACAAGTGATAAGATATTGTTTGTTTTGGGTCAAGTCTTCACGGATTTGCTTGTGGTACCACTCTAAAAAACCTCTTATCAATGGAGGTATGTTATGTATATATAAACTCATGTTCATCTCTTATTTTATCTGATGTGGGACTTTGTTTATACCCAATAGTCCAACAGTCCGTATAGTTTTGAGTTTACGTTATGACCCACCAAACTCATTGAAAACCCTGTTGAATGGTCTTGTAAAAATGAGCTTGATGACGAGTGTTTTCAACTTTGTTTCATAGAGACTATTAGATGTAAAGTTCCCAAACTTTGAACACAAATGGAAAAGAAAGTCTCCAAAAGATGTTTGGTGGAGAAATAGGCTAAAGAAAACGAAGACAAGAATTAGCTTTAATAAATATATTTATTAATGAGTTATCAAGAAAAATTATGATGATGAATGTTTTGCCTATAAAATTGAGGGGCTGAAAAACTATTTATAGAGATGATTATTTAGAGAAAATAGTTTGCTTAATCTAGAAAGAAAATTCACTTTAATAAAGAAAATATTTTATGAAAATTCATCTTCAAAACATTAATGGGTTGTTGTGAAATTCATATTTTTATGTGTAAATATTGGTTCAAATTAATTTCAACATCATCTTTATCCTAAAAGAACATCATCTTTTGTTTGATCAACATGTAGTGATGTAAATATGTAATATAAAGAGCATTAGGTTGAAGATGAAAGTTAAATTTTTTTATCATATATATAAAGAATTCTCTTTTATATTTATATTTATTTTTTAATTTTATCCTTTAAATAATTATTTTATAAGTTTTACTTTAAATTACAGTTTCTTTAAAGTTTAATCATAATTTAACTTTTTTTGTGAAATAATTATTTTCTAATTAAAATATTAAGTACAAAATAAATAAAAATTATTTACAATA